AATATGTTACAATGAATTTTTATCTTATATTAAAATATTTGTTTTCATTTTTTGAAACAAAATTTTATGGGTTTACAAATAAGAAAAATGTTTTAAGAAATCATGTTACACTTGTGACTTGTGTACGGTAACGTACACGGGATATAGGTGTTACATTTGTTGGTATCAGAGCTACATGTTTAGCTGATTCTCGACCGAAATCGAGTTTATTTGAATTTCAAAAAAAGGATTACATGTCGGTAAGATTGTCAAGGTTACTGATATGGTGTCATTAGAGTATGATTGATGTCACTCCTTACTAACTTTAGTATTATTATTATGTATGTCTTAAAAGATGTTGGAATCTTCGAACTCGCGAAGAGCGGCTGAATGAGAAAATAGAGAGGGATCGGGTAGCGAAAGCTATGAGGAGAATAGTGACCATCTGAGAACACTAGCGCATCGACACATCAAGGTATGCCCGTGCCAGAGTTTGGAGCTTTTATGCAAGCTCTCGACGCCATATTGACCTGATTCCAACCTCTTCCACCTCCTCTTGCTCTTCTAGTACCGAAGATGTTGATCCCAAAAGAATTGAAGAGTTTGGGAGCTCCTGAGTTCCGGGGAGAAATGGATGAAGGTCCTATGGTGGCTAACTTATGGTTGAATGATGTTATGGTAATGCTTGAAAGTCTTCACTGCTCAGATTCAAAAAAGCTGGATGGAGTTGTATCTTTACTTGTAGGATTAGCTTAAGTATAGTAGTCAAATACTACGATGTATGCACCACCGGAACAAGTGACCTGGCAGTTCTTCCTAAAGGAATTTAAGAACAAGTATGTTGGTGAGCAGTTTAGACGGGCGATGCTGCCGAAGTTCCTTAATTTGAAACAAGTTGATCAAGCCGTAAATGAGTACGAGGCGGAATACAATAAGCTGAGTCATTTTTCTACTGAGGTAGTTCCCAATGATAAGGCTTGACGTGATTGGTTCATTGAAGGTTTGAGGCCTAAGTTGAAAGAAATGATGTTGGCTTTGAACTTTTCTAGCTTGCAAGAAGTTATAAACCAAGCTAAAGCTATTAAAAGAGCTCAAGAGGAGACTCTAGTAGCGGAGTAGAGTATATAGACGGGGAAAAGAGTTGGAACACATTCAACTCCCTATCATGCTAAGAGAGGCAATGGCTCGAGTTCCTGATATACTGACAGAGATGGTTCTGCTGCAGTTTCATAGAAAACTAAACAATCACAGTCTTTTGCTACTAGCTTGGGTAGAGCAATTAGAGAGAGAGCTCCATGTCTGACATATGGTAAATTGCACCTTGGAGTATGTAGATTTCTCAGTGGAGCTTGTTTCTGGTATGGTGAGACTGGTCACTTTTCCCGAAACTATCCTAAGAAATCTCGAGACAATTCGGCGCAATCTAAAAGATCTATGGTAGCTTCTAATAGAAGCAGAGGAATGGGTAAATCCAGGGGACAATCTGAATCAATGCAGGGACAAGAGACTCAGGGAGTCACCAGAATTTACAACATTAAGGCCAATGAGGATCGGGATTACCCGGAGATCATAATAGGTACATTCAATCTTTTTTATGAGCCTGTATTTGTTTTAGTTGACCCTGGTTTTACACACTCTTACATTAGTACAAATTTGGTTAGAGCTAGAGGAATTCCTTTAGAACCAATTGTTAATGAGATGATAGCGGTAAACCCTATGGGTCACAGTGCTAGAGTAACACGAGTATGTAAAAAATGCCCGATAACGATTCAAGGGATTATGTTTTCAGAAAACTTAATGGAGTTGTCTTTCGATGAGTTTGAAATCATTTTGGGCATGGATTGGTTATCTCCACATCATGGATAGGTCGATTGTCTTAAGAAGCTATTATTTTTTTAAGGATGCGGAAGGGTCTGAATTAGTAGTGATTGGCGAAAAAGTGAAAAAGCGAAATCACCATCCAATGTAATATCAACCATTACTGCAAGGAAAATGATGTCAAAAGGGTGTATAGCTTTCCTAGCTAATGTGATAGACACTCGAGTACCGGAAGTGAGATTAAATGATATTCCAATAGTTAAGTAGTTTCCAGAGGTTTTTTCGAAAGAATTATCGGGTTTACCTCCAGACTGTGAAGTAGAATTCAAGATTAAGGTTTACCCGGGTACCGAACCTATTTTTATAGCTCCATATCGAATGGCTCCAATAGTTAGCTGAGATTGCTTTCCTTGGTCATATAGTATTTGCATAAGGCATAAGAGTAGATCCTAAAAATATTCAAGTTATAGTGGATTGACAACCCCCAAAGAATGTTTATAAAGTTCAGAGTTTCTTGGGGCTTGCTGGTTATTATAGACGGTTCGTGAAGAACTTCTCAATGTTAGCTTCGCCGCTAACTAATTTGTTACGGAAAGGTGTGCCTTTTGTTTGGATGGAGAAATGCTAAGAAAGTTTTGAAATGTTAAAGAGAATAGTAATAGAGACCCTAGTTCTCGTACAACATGAGTCGAGTAAAGACTATGTAGTCTTTAGCGATGCATCTTATAATGGGTTGGGATGTGTGCTCATGAAAGATGGAAAAGTTGTGGCTTATACACTAAGACAACTGAAGAATCACAAGAGAAATTACCTGACACATGACTTGGAATTGGCAACGGTCGTGTTTGCTTTGAAAAGTTGGCGCCATTATCTGTACGATGAGCATTGTCATATTTATATGGATCACAAGAGTCTAAAGTACTTGTTGACTCAAAAAGAACTGAATTTGAGACAGAGGAGATGGATCGAGCGTTTAAAAGATTATGAATTAATCATTGATTATCATCCTGGAAAGGGTAATGTGGTACCAGATGCACTTAGCCGAAAGACTTTTGTCGCTGTACGGGCCTTGGATGCTCGTATGTCTTTAAAAAGATGGTGCCTTGATTGCTGAACTTAAGATAAAGTCGATGCTTTTGGATCGGGTAAAAGAGCTACAAGGTCAAGATGAGAAATGCTTGGCGAGAATGGCGTACGTAGAAAAAGAAGAGGTCAAAGACTTTGAAATAATGGCTGATGGATGTTTATATTATCGTGGAAGACTTTGCATTCCCGATAATGATGAACTGAAGAAAGATATTCTTTCTGAGGCACACTATAGTCCTTTGATGATGCATCCAGGTGGGAATAAGATGTATCATGATTTAAAGAGTCGTTATTGGTGGTCTGGTATGAAAAGAGTTGTATCAGAGTTTGTTGCGAGATGCTTGACATATCAACAAATGAAACCTGAACATCAAATACCCCAAATATTAGGTCAGTGACTATATTGAAATGATTTAAAATTTTGGAGGATTAAATTGAATAAATGGTAAGTATAAGAAAATAATTTAGAAATTGGTTTTAAGACCAATTAGTAAGATGGAAGAATGAAAGGGTATTTTAGTCCTTTAGAGGGAAATAAATTTAAAATTCATTTTTATTAGGGTATTTAAGAGTAAGAAAAGGGGGAAAGTTGAAAAACAAGCTAAGTTATCTTCTCTTCTCCTTCTTCCCGTTTGCTTGTTCTCTCCATAGCCAAAGGTGAGTTTCCTCCACGTTGGTTTTTCCTTTAGTTTAATGGCTGGTATTGAAACCTTGAGTGTTATAGAGGCTTAAGGAATTGTTGAGTCAATCGATAGGATGAAATATCCAAGAGGGGGTGAATTGACAATTAAAATTTTTTTGGAAGCTTGACAGAAAATAGAAATAATTTGCACAGCGATTTAGAGTGGTTTGACTTTCTCAACCAAAATTTTACGTCTACTACCTTAGCTATTCACACTAAAGATTTCCACAAATTCACTAATTTGTCTTCCTTTTGAGGACAAAGAGTAACCTTACAAATCCCTCAAGAATTATAAATGAGATTCGAATAATCAATCTAGATTGATTTGATGAACATTAAACTCAGTTCATATTGATTATTTGAATCCCATTTACAAATGGAGTTCATATTCCAAAATTATCGTCTGTTCAACGATTTCAATGACTTCTCAGCTTCTCTTCATCAAAAAAATCAATGGAAACATAACTGTCTAAAATTAATCCTTTAACCAACAATATATAAACAATACTAACTACTATCATTAACATTATTTTGAATTAAATATGAACCAAAGCACTTTTTTTTAAAATATTGGATGAATAAATGATAGTATCTATTTAAATACTCAACCAGGACAACGTGCACTCGTATCCCTGAATAAGTAATGCTAGAACCCTAAACCCCAATGGGATAATAACAAGTCTCAACCAAACAATAAAAAGAACTCGTTTCCGTTTTCTTTCATTCATTTCAAAAAAAGGATGTTATCTGCTCGAAGAAAGCATCTGATCTAGCAGAAAAAGATGTAGTTACAGCAAAGATTTTCTCAAGAGAATTAATTGATAATTTGCATGCAACAATATCTTAAGATTTGATTAACGAACAATTGACACGAGGAGGGAAAATTAAAATTAAGTGCAAAATTATAAAGAATCGAAAATAAACGTGAAATAAAATACTAGATCGGCAGGAGAACAGGGTACATGATAGGGAAACATATCCAGATCGATAAATTAGAAGGAGAAATAGGAATTAATTCATCACGGGTCGCGTTGAATAGCCAGTGACAATGATATTTAAAGAAAGATTAAAAAAAATTGAATAAAAAACGATGAAAAGAGGGAGGAACCTTATCGGCGAACTCGAACTCGTCCGGCAGTGATGAGTGGAGCCGCTCAGCAACAAGAATTTGGAAGAAATTTTAAAAACATGAAAATAATGAGCCTTGGGCAAAAGAATAAGGGAACTGTTTCCGTTTTATGATTATGGCATTTCCATGATCCAGCTGAGAGTTAAAGCCCATTTTTCCAGTCCAATTGAGATTGCCATTAAAGAAAAGCCCATTTAAATATCATTAAATTGATTTTTTTGTTTAGGAAAGTTTTGATTTTTTTTTTCTTTGGGACTGAAATTAACAAAAAAAAGAGAGGATTTTCTCCATGTAGTGTTAATAAAACCAACATACAAGCATGCTGTAGAAAGCTTTCATTTTATACACATGATAGACGTGTTACTTTAATTGCCATGCCCACTTGCTAAAGCTCTCGTTTCGATTTCATTAGACTGATCCGTTTGTGTATGATGCACCACTGTTACTGGTGGTTGATCTTGAGAACTAAGTGGTTGATTTGACTCGGCCCGCCACCTTCTCCACACACGTGAAATCTTGTAAATAACAGAGGTTCCACACATGGTACTACCAAACCCGAAAAATGCAGAGAGAAGAATGGAGAGAACAGCCTGTACGTGGAGCTGCAGGTGACAAGAGGATAGATGTACTCTAAATCATGTAAGGTTCTATATCCGAATAATGCTAGCTATAATCAACGACGACTAAATTCTCTGTTCAAACCATGGCATTATCAAGGAAGAGTATTCCTCTTACCAATGAGTAGAAAATATGAGCCGAAAGAACCACCAGTCCGAATTGAAAGGTAGCATAAATCCAGACGTATTTTCTCCTCACTGCAAAAAGAAATGAGGTCAGTAAGACATAATGAAATTCACAGGAACGAGCCTGTCAAAAGAAAGTTACCCATAGTTGTTGATGTAATGGATGCAAGGAGACCCAATATACAGGAGAAAGGAAGAGAGATGGCAATTGCACCGGACTTCATTTTCGAAACCTGGGCATATAATGACTTTAGGAACAGCTAAAAAGCTTGAAAGGAAGGAAGGATTTCCGTATTCGCTAAACGTACCAGCAGCTGCTCGAGAAAACAAAAGTAAGCAAGCATGCTAACAATGACTAGGATGGGAACACCCTGCCAGACCCTGCGAAATACAAGCATAAAAATACATAATGTCCATTGTTGAGAAGTAATTTAGTATTAAACGAAGGTAAAACAGATTACATTCATCATTTGTAGCCAACTGCAGAGATGGCACCATTTACTTGCCTGTATCTAGAAGCATCTAACCCGGTTCCTCTAATGTTAAGAACCTGAACATTTTGAACTCGTAAAAGAGTAACAGGTAGGTTTCGGACCTCTTGCTTGCACACGTCACAAGTTTTGTTACCTTTGATGCTAAACCATTTTACAGCACATTCTTGGTGGGCAAGTGCAAGTTCTCCTTTGCAGCCACATTCCATCTTGAGGGTCTCAGCACCTTCTCCTAGTTCGATCAAGCAGATTCGACAAACAGCTTCTTCTTCAGGAATATCTTCACCGCCATCATCGTTTCCATCTGAAAAATAAGACTAACATAAGACATAGGATGGTTATCAAAAGCATTAAAAATAAATCAATAACGAAAATTTAGGGTATTTCTTCCTCTCTGAAGTTTACGCTATTTGAACTGAATTGGCCCATTTAACTGATGCCTTCTAATATGTCAACTTACTGATCTTAAAATTCTGGGCCTTCTCACTTTGTTTAATGCTTTCTAACTTCTAAGAGCAAATAAAGACGATCTGCAGATTAAAATTACCAGTATCACTTTTGGTAATTATGTTTGATGTTGTTACAACAGTTCCCTTGACTGCTAGTGGAGTTGTAGGAATTACACGAAATACGGTGCCTAAAGAATCCAACTGTGTTATGCTTCCATCCTTGATGAGGACAGGCACTGAATGTGAACGATGGATGGGTGGTCCAGCAGCTCCGCCTTTCTGTAAGAATCTAGTGGGAAATAGTATTACACACTGCAGGGGTAAAGGTTGAAATGCAAGTTCATGAAACAAATAAATTATCAAGGTGATAAGCATAAAATAAAACTGTAATTCTTAGAAGAGATATTGACACCAAAATTTCTCAAATTCAAGAGCATAACTCTTACAGAAATTCTAAGTTCCCCAGATTATGTTCTGTATACAAAGTCAAGAAACTCTTCAAACTAGCAAGTGCAGCAATCATTTACAAGCACAGAAAATCCGAGAGCAATAAATTAACCGGGTATCGGAGTATATAAGCATCAGTTATAGATATAAATGCCAATGAATATAATGAGCATGATGAATTGACCGCTTCTTAAGTGTAAAACATAAATAGTTGTTAAGGATCCTGAGTGACACAGAGGAACGTAGTAGCACATGAATGGATGCTGATGTATACAACAATTGCTGCAGAATTTAGTAGGCTAATAACCTGACCGCCGTGCATGGACTCTGGATTTGAATGTGTTGTTGGAGTACCAGGAAACGATGATGTATTTTCAGCCTTCGGTATGAAAAGTTTTGAGAGGGAAAATGTCTTCGGGATGCGAGGCTTTTCTTGTATATCTGCTGATGAGCCTCCCAGTGCTAAGCTGACAGCCTTCTCAATCTCCAAATTAGTGTTGCGGTATTTGAAACTCAACTTGGGAAGGAAACTTTTCAAGGATGATTTACTTTTTGGCGATGAGCGCAGCGGGGACTCATCGAATCTGGAAAAAGTAGGACTAGGCATGGGTGAAAAGTTTACTCTTTTAGGAGTAGCTTCCGGTGTTAAGGCCATGTCTGTTCTCACGAACTCCTCCCTCACGTCCTGGGGACTTGGTGGTGGTATCTCTATGACAAGGTTGTGCCGATGTTGGTGCTGACCGACTGGTGTCTCCTCGGTTATCTCGGTTGAATCCCCAAACTGTAAAATGGATCAGATAATTAAGTGTAAAACAAAAGTTGAATTTTTAAATCAATCTTCAATATGGCAGATATCATAGGCTCTTTAGCTTGTATAGTGTAACAACTAACAAAACAATACCAAGAGAAAACTTCAATTCAATCTTCAAATCAACTTACAATCTCAAACGAAAACAAAGAAAAAACTTCAATGAATAGAGAATGCCACCTTAAATAGAGAATAACGTAATAAAAAGAAATAGGCAATCCATCCCTCATTTTTGTATGACAAAATGGTAGTGAATTGCAAGTGACTTAGTTTTAGTCTTTATGATAGCTTAGTGTTTGTCAAAATTCTAGAAAAAAGCTATGTATGCCCTGCAATTAGACATTTTTTTCCTATAATCTGCAGACTGCAGCAAATAAAGTTTTAAGATTTAGAAAGTAAAACTTTTATGTGCTTGAAATAAAGGGAGAAAATATTCTATAAAGTTCATATAATTAATCTTTAGAAAGCATGAGGTTGAAGTTGAAACTGTACTTCTTTCTAAAAGTAAAAGAAACAGAGATACCCTAAAGGTTCAAGTTTTTAGTCAGAATTTCCCATCAAACCATTTGCAGCAATAAACAACTAAAGTTTCAAAATTGACCCAAAAAAGATATGATTTTTAACAATCCACCAAAAAAAACTGAAAAAGAAGTATAAAAAAGTACCCCTTGAAGTGGAGGATGAAGAGTGTTGTTTGTTCCTTCACCATTCTTGAATACAGTCTCCCCTTCATTTTCCATGTCTCAGATTCAAACTTTTTTCTGAAGAGACAGATGATGGGTGTTCATAGTTAACTTCAATTATGGGTTTCTGACCAAAAAAACTGTTTTTGTACTTATGTCTGACGAACAGGTTGACAAATAACAGGGGAGGGAAACTGCTAGATATTATGTGAGCACTCCAACACTGAGGTGGCCATCTAAGGAGAGAGAGAGAGAGAGAGAGAGAGAGAGAGAGAGAGAGAGAGAGAGAGAGTTTAATATACAGTTTTTAAAGTAAAAAATATTTTAATTTAAAAGAAAAAAATGTTCATTGTTTGATTATGAAAGGGTGGCTAAGTGCCAAATTAGGCTATGTTTTTGTAAGATGAGACTGCGGCAGGATTTTGGTTTAACGTATCAAACAAAATATTGTTATAAAATTAATATCAAATGTTTATATAAATAATTATTTTATTATATATATATATATATATTTAAGTATTTTAATATTTGAATATTTTAATTAAAATAATTTATATTGGATGAAAGTTGTTAATTGACTAAAGATCATGTTATTCATATGATATTTTCGTTTAATTAATAATATGACATGTGCAAGATCATTATTTTAGGTGTTGTAATACATGTTATATCATTACTTTAAATCATGTGACATATATTATATCATCATTTTGAGTGACATAACATATTTGACACTATTATCTTAGTATCGTGATATATATTACATCATTATCTTGGTTATGTGACATATATCATATTAATTAAACACATAAAAAACGTTATATCAACACTGTGTATTAACCGTTAATAATTTTCATCCAACAAAAAATATTTTGGTCAAAAAATAAAATCATTTATACAGAGACATGTGATAACAATTCATTAACTAATAATTTTCATTTAACACAAAAGTTATTTTGATTAAAAATTAAAATTTTAAGAGTTAAAACACTAAAAAAAAGGAATATGAGATAAAATCATTTATATATCGGTTGGATAATTATCTATGAATAGATAATATCTTGTATTTATGTTAGATTAATAAACAAATATATTTGTAATGTAATTATTTGATATTTAAGTAAATTTTGATTAGTTAATAATAAGTTATAGTATAAAATTTCCATGTATTGTCATGCTGTGTCGTTTTATATTATTTGATTAGTTTATGTTAATTAGTTTTGACATTTGAGTATTTTGTGAAGGAGTTAACTAGGAGAAACAAAGTCAAACATGAACAGTGAAGAGATTGAAAAGAAGAGTGGGACTAAGGAGATGTTTGTATGAAGGAATTCATATGATCGAGAATCTCAAGGGTGAATTGTGGGAAGCTTTGAACCGAATGGCAACAAAGTTCAGGAGCAGGGGATGCCATTGCCAACTCACTTTTCTTTTTCAAATTCAAAGCCAAAAGAACTATTCCTGGCCTATTGTTTGAGAACGTTTGGACAACCCACAACGATCTCGACTTTAAAAGTCTGACGGTTTAGATTAAATTGTACTCGTTAATCATAATTATTAACAACTATAACTGTTATATTTTACAACATAATTAATTGAATCATTTATATTAAATGATTTTGATTAATCAAATCGCTAAAAAATAATAATTAACGATTATAATTATTATAATAAATGGTTAACTATCGATAACCATAATAATTTATAATTATATTTGTTAAAGGAAAATAGAATTTCAAATAAAATTGAAATTAAAAATGGATTTAATATAAAATTGAAATTAAAATTAAAATTGTTAACCATTTAAAAATCAATTGTTAACCATTGTGCAATTCTATTTTCCTTAAAAAATATTAAATCCATTTTTAATTTTAATTTGATTTGAAATTCCATTTTCCTTAAAAATGGTTAACAATTGATTTTTAAATGAATACACATGTATGTTGTAACACCCTAATCCGATTTGACCTAAAATCCGGAAGATTAGAATATTACACGGAACCATCAAAGTGACTAACCATATATATATATATATTAAATATTCGTCATATTAATGTTTTACACCATAATTGAGAACATAATAAAATCTCAAAGGATAATAAGTTTACAAAATATGGGGAGCTCCCAAAAGTATATTCAAAATACACAAGTTCATATAGAGTTTATGACTCAACATTATACAAGGGTCTATGACAGTACATGATCACTATAATTACTCGAGACGTACTTTAGGAAATCCTAGTATGGAATCCGCAAGCTAATTATAAGCTCCTTGATCGGTACTTAAGAACCTGCGCACAGAAACACATTCCGAACGCTGAGTGTATGAGCTCAGTGCCACAAAAATAACATTACTATACTACAAGCATTCAACATATGAGCATTCCAAAAGTATAGTTATGAACATGATGGAACATTTAATACACATCAATAGCATACATCATGGTATAGTACGGGGTCACATACCATCACGAAATGCACATCCCTATTTTCTTACTAAGGGTACTTCAGGCAAGATCTGAGTTACACAGCGTCAACATCTCCTAAGTACCCTAAGCGAGGTCCGAGTCACATAGAATCGACACCTTGTTTAGCTAGTCAACTCCTCTAGAGTACTCGAAACGTGTCCAGATCACACATCATCAGTAAAACATCCAACTAGCCATAAATGCCCATGCACTAAATTGGGATATATTCGGATGAACCCTTATTCATCTAGACGATAGTCATACACAGTAACTCGAGTGTCATCATTGTTTCCCGAGCAGCAAACAAGGCATAAGTCAAGGGATCATGAAAACTTTTATTAATGTTCTTATGTTATCACATAATACCTTGTTTGTTGCTTTTATTAACTCGTGAAAGCTTTTTATTAATGTTCATATAATACGGATACACTAAACCTATAAAACCCTATTTTTCACGAGTGAATCTTTCCAAATCACTCTTATAACCCTCCTAAGACCCTTAATGGTGTTTAAATCTTATGTATGGCCAAGGGATCATGAAAGGTCATTTCTTTATGCATAAACAACATCAAAAACCCAATTTCATGTTATGAACCAAAATACATCCAAATGCTTCATAAACACATACTAGCAACCACACTATATATGTTAATCTACAAGCATTATAAGAGTGTTACCTTACAACCAAATGTTGGAGAATCAACCCTAAGCTCACCTAAACACCACTTTCTCTTTTCCTTTTCATTTGTAGCCTTAACCCAATTCTCTCACTAGAAAAATTAATATAATGAGTTATTAATCCATCTAAGGACTTAGGAGAGGTAAAAACATAATTCCTAAGGTTTATAAATGATTTAGAACCACCCGAAAGCTCTAAAATACAAAACCTTCCTAAATCCAACTATGGCCACCATGGCCAAGCTCTAAGGTTGAGAGCTTAAAATGAAGCTTTAAAAATGGAGATTATCGTTCTTACCTTTAAAAACTTAGGCAAGAAATATGGATTGTCAAAGTTATCACCTTTGATGACTTGAGGCAAGGAAGTAAAGAGATAAATATTACGAAAAAGAAGACAAAGAAGAATGCTCCTATTCCAACATGTGACTTGACCTATCTTAATGAAATTCAACCTTATTTTCAAATGACGGGTTAATTCCTTTTAGTTCTCCTCTATGCCCCAATCAAAAATACAATTTTTATTATTTTATGGGCCTAAATTAGGCCCAAATTTACACATCATTGGACTAAGGCTTCTTATAAAGCTAGTGGGTTTATTCACAACCTTCTCGGGTTAGCCCGAAACTACTAAACTAGAAATTAGGCCGTTACAACTCTCTATTCCTAAAAAGAAATTTCATCCTTGAAATTTACTTGATTAGAACAGATGCGGGTACTAGAGTCATATATCTTCCTCTGTTTCCCAAGTCGCCTCCTCGACCCCATGGTTCCTCCATAAGACATTTACTAATAGAATTCACTTGTTCCTCAATTTCTTGACCTCTCGATCTAGGATCTTTATTAGCTTCTCTTCGCACGACATGTCTTGACTTACCTCAATGCGCTCTAGCAGAATGACATGGGAAGATTCGAAATGATATCTCTTAAGCATCAATACATTAAACACATTGAGAATGTACTCCATCACTAGCGGTAATGCTAAATAGTAAGCTATGATTCCAACCCTCTCAAGAATCTCATAATGTCCAATAAAGCGCAGAGTCAGCTTCCATTTGTGCCCAAACCTTAACACTCTCTTCCAAGGAAATACACTAAGGAAAACTTTATCATCCACTGTAAACTCTATATTCTTGTATTTTAAGTTTGCATATGACCTCTACTGATCAAAAGCTTCCCTCAAACGACCTTGGATTAACCTAACTTTCTCTTAGGCCTCTCTGATCAAATCAGAACTGATAATTTTTCTCTTGCTAAGCTCTATCCTATAAAAAGACGTTATACACTTTTGTCCATACAAAGCTTTATAAGGGTCATCTGAATACTTGACTGGTAGGTGTTGTTGTAGGAGAACTTTACAAATTAAGGATGATCTTCCAAACTACCTCGAGATCTATAATGCAACACTTGAGCATGTCTTCCAAAATCTGAATCACACGATGTGATTGACCGTCAATCTTTGGGTGAAAGGCGATGTTAAAATATAGTTGGGTGTTTAAAGCCTTATAAATAACTTTTTAGAATCTTTAAGTAAATCACGAATTCCAATAAGATATGATCGTCATCGACACTATATGAAGCTTTACAATCTCCTGACTATTCATTCAGGCTATTTCTCTCTAAGGTGAAATTCATCTAAACTGGTAGGAAATAAATGAACTTAGTTAATCGCGACCACTACCCAAACTACGTTTTGCTTTTGCTATGTCATCTGTAGTTCAATCAAAATTGATTAAAAATTTTGGAATGGGACAATAGGTGGGGGCTCACAAGAGTTGTAGAGAAATGAAAGGGGGGGGGCGAATCATTTTCATGGTGTTATAGGAAAATGTTGCTCAGTTTCTTTCACAAGTAATATGCATTGTCAAAAAAACCCTGTGAGCTTGAGTAGAGGCTTGGTAAAGTATGCTTGAGGAAAACATCACGTTTTATTATTCACTTTTGACTAATAAAATATTGGGTAAAGTACTCAAATGGTCCACTGACTATTGAATACTACGTTATTAAGTCCCTCGACTATTAAAAGTTACAAAATGGTCACCCGGTAATTTATTATGTTACAAACTCATTTTTTTTGTTAAAAGAT